CCGCATGGACTTCAAGTCAATCACAAAAAGGTCCCATTACATGCACACATATCCTAAAACAAATATTTGCTTCTTGCCCTCCACAGCATGGCAAACCAAAAGTGTGGCAACCACCAAGACTCTCCTTATCAAGGGAACACACGCCCTTAATCATTTGGAAAGGAAGATTGGAAGCCTCATCCAAACAGAGGTATTGAAGGCTCAGAATCGGACTCGAACATATATGTCATTTAAGTACAATTCTGATACAATAATATCAACATAGACCTCAATACAATAAAATCATGCAGGCACATAAAGAATTGCATGACCAATGTCACTAAAGCACGAACCTGATCAATGAGAATCTTGAAAATTGGACTGAATTATAACTTTCAACATAATAATTAGAGAATGATAACTTACAAAAATTAGCAAGTGGTCCTTAAAAGTTGTCGATATATAGGGACATTTGCACAACTAAAAAAAGGATAAAAATCTAAGATCTATTCTTCTAGTCTCTAAAAGGCCATACTGCATCAAGGCACTACTAAGTGTAGGTACTCTTGAAAATCTTAGTACTGTTCGATTGAAGTGCACTAATTTCGGTTAAATAATGATGAAAACCCCATCTCCACTCTTCTCTAGAAAGAATGCACCCAAAAATTCAACCACAAAATTCCACTAATTGCTTTAGAAAATAATTTCGATTTTTTGTGGTCAAAATTTGGCATCATCTGTAGAAAATCTTACAAAAGATCACAAGAAGAACAAATGTGAGGAAAATAAAAAGCCAGAAAGTATGAATGAAAATAGATGAAACCGCAAAGAAAATTCAAAAATAAATGAGAATGAGAATATAGGCATCCAAGTGGAGAAGAATGCCAGAGAAAGTGAAATTGAAGATCATATAAGAGATTAAACCAATTAACTCGAATGCTAGCCAACATGGCTATCGATGTACAATGTGGTGCTGATGAGATAGCTTTTGATGTACTAGATCCATTCATTTGGTCCAACCACAACACTAAATAATATGAAAACTGTATAGATTTTATATTTAATTTTTAACAAGAGAAAATTTGAGAATTTATATATTTTAATTAATAAATGAGTTTCCATTTTAACTTTTACACTTATATGTACACCTTTTTCAATAGAAAAAAGTTTTGATTACTTTCCAACCTTGCCAAATCGATTGAATCTGTAGCTTGTTAACCTGGTGTTTTGGCCGACTGAATCATCAGGTCGTCTGATAACTATGTTTAGTCTTACCATATTGCTTAACAAAGAAAATAACATTCTAATTCGATAATGACACACTCATGCTATCTAGCACACCAATAATGCTATGATATGAGTCTATGTGGCACTATGTAATAAGAGCCCATTTTAAGATAAAATTTGGGAAAATTTAAAAAGTAAGAGGATAAGTATTGCCTATTTCAAAACTAACAATAAAGGTTTAAACTTTCAAAAATCTGATATTTAATAAAAAAAAAATTATAATTTAATTAATTAATTATATTAAGGTCACATATTTATATAATTTGATCACAAATTTCACATTTTAGTTCGTCACATATTATTTTTTCTATCACAAATCATAATTTTGAAACGTCACATATTATTTTACAGTCACACCTCAAAAATTTTGTAGGTCAAAATTTTTTCATTGGTCACAGATCAAAAATTAATAAGTCACACTTTATTTATCGAACATAATTCATAGGTCACAACTTATTAGAGAGTCACAAAATTAATTTTTTCTGGTCACACATTAATTAATTAATTTATTTTTATCAAAATTTATCTTTTCTATTGGTCCCATATTGTTTATTGGTATTAACCAATTTAATGGTTACAATTAACAAAATAATCTGTGACCATCACCAACACTTGCGACAACCACCGCTTCCAACAGCACCACTGCCATCGTCACCGCCAGAACTACCCCATCACCATCGTGAAAAACAAACACCAAATAGCGTCACCTATGCCACCAACACAGTGACAGAAACCAATCACCACAACCATGCCAAAACCATCACAACTACCACACCTCATCCGCCATCAACCACCTGTACTAACACCACACCACACTGCCAGATCCGATCATCATCACCACCACCAGCCGCCCAAAACCACCATCACTGTAACCATTAGATTGCGTCGCGCACACCATCCCACACATAAACCCAGGCCACTACCACCACCACCGTCGACCACTACACAACAAATCAAATAATGAAAATTCCCAGAATATCAACTACCAGATTCACCCATGTCATTCCACACACAAACCACCTGCCAAAATCCACCGCCACCTACCACCGCACAGTAGATCCAATAAAAAAACTCCCAATGAAATCGAGGTAGCGTTGTAGATCAACGTTTCACATCGCAACTCCGCCATATTCACCACCGTCGTCGCAACCTAACCTCGTAGCACCACCCACTGCTTCACGTCGCGACAAGCTGGATGGTAAAATGCCGTAGACGGTGGTGCGATGGAGGGGAGCAGCATCGCGACGAGGGAGGAGTGGAAAGAGAAAAGATGAAGAAAGGGAGACAATGGAGACTGTCTGTGGAGAGTGATACGAGAGAGAAAACATGAAGAGAGGGAGAAATGCTTCTAGGGTTGGGATGAAAATTATGTATTCAATTTTTAATATTTACCTATGATATTTCTGATTTTTGAAAAGTGGAAGTTCCCATCTGATTTAAGAAATCGGAATTTTAACTCTGGTTTTGAGTAATTTCCACATAAAATTTTGCGACTTACTAAATTGTACCTCTCATTCAATATTACAACATTATTTGTGTTAAATAATATTACTCTAATTACACACTGACATATTTTATATTAATGATAATCATCACTATTATTGAATAACATTATTCAACAATAGAAAATTGAAGATATATAATCATCTTTCTACATGAATTATTCAATAAAAAAATATATTTAAATTTAGAATATCCTATCAACATTTAGTCCTTGTTTGACCCCTTTTTCCCCAAACTCATTTTCAAATATATATTTCATAGTACTAATAACTTTTGTCAACTTTTTAACTATACATTTCACGGACTTTTATCAAAATTTATTAAAAATATATTTTTGTATTCAAACCAGACAGAGCTTTATAGAAGAAACAATTATGAAAACAGAAAAGTGGAGCAAACATTATTAGATTTTATGGAGACAATATAAAACTCAATCGGCCGCTAAATTGCATTTTATTACCATCGAAGTCAAAAGTACATACTCCTTACGGAGCTTACAAGAAAATAAGTCAATGTTTGTCATCTTTTAAAATTTTAAATTGTTTGCTACAGAATTATTATCCACCACACATTCACAAAATAAAAGATTCCGTACACAAACCAATAAAATTTTATAACTTTTTAACCACTTATTTTTCAAAAAAATATTATCCAATAACTCATTATTCTCGAATAAATTCTATCAAACAGGCTCTCAATTATAAAGTTGAAAACTACCTTCAGTTCAATAGCAGCTATTAAACTAAAAATAATAATATAATGTACTCACTTGTTAGTATCTATATTGAAAATTTTAATTTTCATACAGGAGATTAAAGTGACATTCTTCTTCCTGTTGATACTCAAGATATGTACCCTAATTTGATTCTTCAAAATATACGCTAACAAACAGATAAAGAAATATCGCCTCTTAATGGTGCCTTGACTTGAATCGATCATACATAAGTTTTTACTTTATTTTCATTATGAAGAGATCGTGTTAGGATCGTTTTCAGCTTTGTCCCTTATTTGGTGAGGATTAAAATTAGATTTTGAATAAATTTTCATAAAAGTTTAAATTTCAGCTGTGTGGTTGAAATCAATTATTGATATTGTATTAGATTAATATTTAAATTTTGATTTTCATCAGACAAGAACTCAATATGATCGAACTCATAATAAAGTTCGGTACTTACTTTCGTACAGATGTTATTAGTTGTCTTTTAGCCCTCGTTTGGCCTCCATTATTTGGGGTTATAATTTTTGAAAGAGTTTATTTTTAAAGAATGTATGGTTGAAATATAAGGAAAAATTTTCAATTTACGTATAATATTATTTTATGAAAGATTTTTTGGTTGAAAATAAGAGAGAAAAATTTTAATGTGAAATAACGGGGCCAAACGGGGCTCATTCATGACAAAGACTCAATCAAATTAATTTGTCTATCTGAAAGTTCCACGCGTATATGTAGAAAAGTCTTTTCCTCCTCCCCAGCCAAATCAAGTTTTAGAGGACGCAAATGGTGAAGATAATAGTGGCAGTGACCAAAAGTCTAATTGTGGTTGACATTCGCATGCTATGATGATTTATAGAGATAAGCTTTTATGCATGAAATTCAAATGTAGCTCCGATTTGGCTTGGATTAAAATCAATTTTTTAGTAAATTTTGATAAAAGTTCTTCAAATGTGTGATTAAAAAGTTTTAATCTTATGAAATATGTTGTTAAAATTAATTATTAACTTTTACTTATATTAAAATATAGCTTTTAATTCATACCAAACCAAAGGGGGTTGGATTGGGCTATTGTCTAGCCCCTTCCCCAACCCAACAAAAAAAATTTCTAAATAAAGAATGGAAAATTTAGCTCTGTGAAATCAAAAGGAATAAAAATTTAGCTCCCAAAAATTAAGTTTAGTCTAACTAACTTCATTCACAATCCAAACCCAATGTTTAATTATTCAATTTAGTTTAAAACTCTACAAACATATTTCTTTTATTGACATTCATGATACACAAATTACTCGTTATCAAATTAAGTCTTTTACACACACACACACACACACACACACACACACACATATATATTTGTTAGAATTTTGCTACAAGTGTCCAAAAATATATTCCGATCCATTTTGTCATTATCGTCATGAGTTTAACCATTTAAACTAAATCTTCTGTTACATAGATCATATTTAATGGATAAGTTTATTGCAAAATAATTTAAATTTCAGCTCATTCTAACATATCTTTCTGGCTCTATCCTTGTACCAAACAATAGTGTTATTTATAATTAATTATTGTGAGTGATTAAATAGAGGGTCTCAATTAGGACCATAATCGACTTCGAAATTACATTAAAGAACTTCCTTACATGGTAATATATAAATAACTGCGAATTAAAAGAATAATTTCAGGAATCCCAAATAGGACCAAAGGCAACAATTCCAGCATCCTTGCATGCATTAACCACGTCCCTACTTCCCTCCGGGTTGCTGGTGACAATAACAACCTCTGCCCCCCATTTCTTGGCCGTGTCGACACTCATTTGTGACACGTTGGGGCGGCCAAGCACGGCTGTGTCATGGATAATAACCTTATCCTGAGGATGTCCAGACAACATTTGTTTGATTTCTTTACCAAAATTTTGTTCCACCCCTTTTGTCACCCAAAGCAAGCAGACGTCGGCTTTACATGGCTGCAGGAGGAAGGAAAGGAAGACGCAGATTCCTGAACCGGTGGCCACTAGAAGCACCCTGTTATACAAGTTCGTTAAATATGGTAGTCCCGCAAAGTGCACCTGTCGAACCCACAAGTGGCTCGGTGGATTTGTGACTAAAGATTTTGTAAAGTCACCAACTGCACCAGCAAGCATCATGTGCTCTTTCTTATTATCTGAAATGATTCCAAATGCATGCCACTCGGAAAGAGGGGACGGGCTAATCCTGCCCAAGATTCCGGATTTAATACCACCTTCGAACTTGATGATCGAAGCATGACCAGATTGGGAAGAAACCCTAACCGGGACCCTTCTCACAGTCAACCATGGAATTAAAATTAGTGTGGTAATTCCTATCGTGAACCAGAATTCCTGCTGTTTGATCAGTTTTGATCCAAGATCATCACTGTAGGATTTGGTTTTCGTGTCATAAGAGATTATGAGGATGATGAATAACCAGAGGAGGGCCAAGGCAGTCCAACCAGCAAATCGGTGAGTCCTCTCAAACACGTTGTGGTGGAGGTGGCGGACTAGGGGAAACGCCGCCAGAGAAGAGAGGCAGAGGAGTGCAAGAATGGTGGAGGCGGCTATAATTATGGCGGAGGAAGTGTTTTCTCTGTTTTTAAGAGTGAGGACTAAAGCATAAACAAGCCATGCAATTGATGAAATACCACAACTACTGTGTATTCCACCAAGAGATTGCAATAAAATTTTGTGACCATTGTCTTTAGCCTCAATGGAACCCATGACCACCCTAAAACCTTCACCACCGCCCAAAAAACAATCCTTAAAAAGGCTTCACTCCGGCAGAGGACCAAAGCGAAAATGTTTGCTATGGAAAATAAGGCGGCTCGGTTTCTTGCATATGGGAAGTGTCCAGTTGCTGCAAGAACCAGACCAGTAATGTTCAAAGCCAAACAAACGACAAAAAGCCGTTTGTAAACAGTGAACAAGCCTTGATCAAGAAGTATCACCGAAAGTCTCGACGGCTTCGCCTTGGCAGCGCTGCCGTTGGCTTTGGGCTGTTCACGTTTACTCAAGGCTGGCGGAAGAGGCAGTGGCAGTGGTAGTGGTTCCACTTTCTCTTCTTCATAGCCTTCTTCAATATCAGCAAGAGTATCATCATCATATTCAACTTCAAGATCACAGAAATGGCTGCTGGTTCGGCTCATTGACCTTCTAGCGAAAGCCAACAATTAATTTTAATCACATATTTTACGTGATCCACAATTTTTAGTCCTACATTTCATCAATATTTATAAAAATCTTCTAAAAGTCTGAAATTTAATTCCCATCAAATCAGGCCTAAATAACGGTTGAAATGTTACTTTCACATAACATTTTGACTAATAAGAATTTAAACAGTTTTTCATTAAAAAAAAATAAAAAATCTTTTAAGAACATTTACAAGAGACTCTCTAAATATAAAATACTTTATATTTTAAAGAGTCAGTACTTAAAAATAAGCTCCCAAAGATTCCTTATTTTAACTTTATAAAATAACTAACAATGATTGCATATAATAAGTTATAAATCTCAATATTTTATAATTTAAATTATTCAAATCATATTTAAATTGATTGACCATTAACATATTTAAAAAATATATATTAAATAAGAGATGATGAAAAATCAATAAATATTCATTGAAAAGGCTAATTAAAGAGTCAAAATAGAGAGTATTGTTGTAGTTTACAAAAAAATTTACTCTGTTAATTTAAAGATTCTCTTTAATATACGTAAAATACTCTTTATAAATAGAGAGTAGGTTGTCTAAGCTTAGCCGTCCATCTACAAAACTGTCAAAAGCTATGCATATTATTATAGTGTATATAACTATTAACAAATAAGATGAGATGACTATTTGTATATCATATTAAATTAAGGTACCAAGTTTCATTAGTTTCCACATTATATATGAAAAATTCATTTTTTTTAAGTTTTTGATTGAAAAATAAATCAAATTTTTATGTAGGTATATTTAGAATTTAAATATAAATATAAATTAAAAAATCAACCTATTTAACAACTTAATTTTAATAATAAGATGGTTATTAGATAGGTATGCAGTTGTTTTAGAGGTTGTTTTCCTTTTTTTTCCCCTGCTTGCTAAGTTTCCTAGGCATCTAATGGACATTGATCAAAATCAAGACACAAAAAGTATTGCATAGGACTAAACAGTATAGTTACAAAATTTTAACTAGGTCTTCCTTGACTTTGATCACATAATTTTTGTTTGTTTGGGTGGTTTGTAATTAACGGTAATTACTTCAATTATTGTGGTGACAGATTGTGCAAAGTATTTTGAAAGATCTCTGTTTCTCGTGGGTGAGATTGGTGGTAATGACTACAACTATCCATTTTTGGTTGGTGGAACCATTAAACAACTTAAAGCTCTTGTCCCACTGGTAGTTGAAACAATTGTTGCAGCCATTAGTGCAAGCCCCTACTCACATTTATTACAATAATAATAATAATAATAATAATAATAATAATAATAATAATAATAATAATAATAATAATAATAATAATGTACTTGCTCTTTTTCTCTCTCTCTCTCTCTATTATTAAGATGATATTGATTTAATCCAACATAAATAGCAATGATCGAAGCTTTACAACTTTTTTTTTCCCCCATAAACATACAAACAAGTATGTTTAGTTGTGGTGCTTCATCACTTTCGTGTATGGAATCATTATGCTGATTGAAAAGAGTAATGCTGCATTGCCAGACCCCCCTTCCTCACAGGGGTCTTACAGACAACTTACAAAAGCAGGTGGGGTCAACATTTTTGCAATTTTTTATGACAAGTAGGTTTGACTGGGGGCCCACCTTATTGTGAGGAGCCTGTATAAGGCCTATGAGCCTCAATCTGATAGAGCAGCATTCTTCAATTGAAAAATAGGTAATGATTTTTAGGGTTTTGTATTATTGTTTGAAAAACAGAGAGAGATTTAATAATTTTTCTTAAACAAGGCCACATATCCCTGTTTTTTCGGGAAAGGTGCAAGTGCACCCCTTGAAAAAACAGGGCCATGTGGCCCTATTTATATAGAACCGCTTGAGAGAGATATTAGAGAAGATGGGGTATATGATTTTCTCTTCTAAATTTCTTTTCATTATAGGGAATTGTTATAGCAACGAACGAAGACATAGTCTCAATTGAAATGAATCTCCATAAATCTAATGCGTTCTTTTGTGTCTTTATTTTTTTAATGTGATTTTAATGTTTTTGATAATATAGAATTATGGTTTCTAATACTCAACACACATGCATGTATTTGACTTGAGTATAATTTACGTAAGAAATCTTTGCTAGGTGATTAATTTTTGCGGAATATATTTTTGTGAATTTTTTTTTCATGAATATTAGGATGTGAGTCGAGTCTGGTTATAAAATAATAGCATTTTGAATATTTTCTTTGAAACTTCTTCTATTTTTTATTTTTTATTTATTTATTTTATTTTTTCAGCTGTTAATAGAGGAAGGAGCAGTAGAATTAATAGTACCAGGTAACTTGCCAATTGGCTGCAGTGCAGTGTATCTAACCTTGTTTAGAACACCAAATGAATCAGCTTATGATGAAAATGGCAAATAATGCTTTCTCAAAGTACCACAATTCTCAGCTTAAACTTTCCTTGGAGACATTAAGACAAAAATACCCCCATGCAAAAATTATTTATGCTGATTATTATGGTGCTGCCAAGAGATTCTTCCACTCCCTCAAGCATTATGGTAAGTTCACTCACTTTTATTTCTCTTCACCACATTACTATTTTAAATTTCATATTAATAGTCATCAATTGTGTTCAGATCCTTCTTTTCTTCCAACAAAAAAAAAAAAAAAAAAAAAAGGAAGAAGAAGAAGGCTCTTCTTCGACGAATCCCTCTTGTTCCTGAGAATTCTATTCTGAAAAACCAATTTCACATTGATAATATGATGTTTGGTTAGATTAAACGTGACATTTTGGTTAACACTAGGCAAAAAATTCAATATGGTAGTAACATAAAAGAGTGTAATGCTTTGTAGGATGGAAATTGATTTGAATACTATCAAGCACCTGTAGTGCTTAACATTAATTTAGGTGGCAATACAATTGATACTAGAGTTATTGTCAACTTGTTCAATATAGTTGTAGCAGTACTCTTAGCGTCAGGTAATATGGTACTAGATAGCATTTTTCAATTTATTTATAGTTTTTTAAGTAATAACTAGAAAAAATTTCACGTTGAGGAAAAATAGAGTTCGACTTTTCAACCATTTGTAAGAAGAAATATAATAATGAAAATACACAACCTTTGCAAAATTTTCCCACGGGACTCTAGTGGCTTGTTGCGAAGGGGGTGGACCATACAGTTTCAACAATTCAGCAAGGTGTGGCCACACTGGATCAACGGCCTGTTTGGATCCATCAACTTATGCAAATTGGGACGGAGTCCATTTAACTGAAGGTGCCTACCGATATATAGCTAGGGGTTTGGTTAATGGACCCTTCACTTCTCCACCTCTAACATTCCCTCCATTATATGATTTTTGAATGATTTTCTTCGATCAATTATATGATGTCCAGCAAGTGAATGTGAATGGAGAAGATAATGGCGAACACATTCTTTAATAATGACAGTTAATATTATTTCAGTATCCAATAATTAAATGAAATATCAATTTCATCATTATTTTTGTGGTTCTTCAAGTTATACATGTTGTGGCATTGTTATATTCAAGATCGAATCACAAGGAGGACGTTTGGACATGCTAAGGAAAAAGGACAATGCTATTACACCCTTCTCATGTGGAGGGGGGCCCACATACAATAAAATATTCGTGGGCCCCCTCCTTGTGAGGATGTGTAATATATTGTGTACACCTCATACACCTTGAGGTGTACACATAGAATTATCCAGGAAAAAATATGCCCCTTATTCATTGAAACCAAGAGTTGTGAAGGTGACCATTTCTCCTACCTATGAGAAAAGTTCTTATCCAATAAAGATGAAGTGAGGTTCATCTCTTTCATTTTAGCCCATGTTTAGGCTCCATTTTAATGTGTTTGAGGAAAATATATTTTGGAATGGTGATTTTTATGAAAAATGTGGTTGTCCTCGACCCAATTATTGCCAATTGGGTAGAGCGAGTTGGTCGGGGTGTACTTCCTTTAGAAGGAAACCTCGCTCGGTGAAGATATGCTCCTCCACATCTTCCAATCTCCTTTCTAGCCTCGAATACTTGGGAAAAAAGAGTTCTAGGAGTGGTATTATATGACTCCTTGGAGAGCCCATGCACCTTTCATATTATGTTTGCCATCTTCGATAAAAAGGTGGAAAGAGTCATGGTCTAGGTCAAGGGCAAGTGGCAATTGGTTGAGGGAGATAAAGCCTCAGCTTGCATCGTGCTGACCCAGTATTCCGATGCTCATGAGTTTTTCTCTTTAAAACTTGTCATTTGTTTGTAGCTTCACCTGATGTTTGTTTGTTTACACTTTTAGGGATTTGTTGTAGAAAATCACAATACAAAGTTCTGTCCAAAAAACTACTCATTAGCTAATTCTGCTTTCTTGTTTTTTCGCCAAATTGGACACTATTTGAAGAAACCAAGACCATCTCAATGCTCTACAGATCGAGAAGAATCTTCCAATTGGGTGTGTGAAGGCGAACATCGGCGAATAACAGAGGAGCATGAGGTCGTGCGTAGATTGGGTTATGGTGTGTGGCTTAGAATTTCGAGGTGACTATAGAAGGCACACTTCCTTGGTGATTTTTTGATCATTTGGTGTTATTAGCTTGATAGTTCATGTATTGTGCAGTATATTAAGGTAGTAGCTAGAGGTAGTGCGTTGGTTGTTGTTGATTTTTTTAGAATTTGGTGATTTCTTTGATTC